TTATATTATAGTGTTAAATTATATCGTTCAGTTAATATCAATGATAAACAGTCCAGTTTTTATTATATTGTAGAGAGTTAATGTCATTGACATACTGTCCAATTTTAATTATATTGTAGAGAGTTAATATCAATGAAATACTGACCAGTTTTTATTATATTGTAGAGAGTTAATATCAATGAAATACTGACCAGTTTTTATTATATTGTAGAGAGTTAATGTCAATGACATACTGTCCAATTTTAATTATATTGTAGAGAGTTAATATCAATAAAATATTGACCAGTTTTTATTATATTGTACAGTTAATATCAGTGAAACACTGTCTAGTTTTAATTATATTATAAAGATTTAATATCAATAAAATATTGACCAGTTTTTATTATATCGTAGAGTTAATATCAATGAAATACATTCCCACTACAACTATTGTATAGATCAAGACTGACAAACATGCTACCAACCTGTGTAGCCTGACAGTTTTCTAGGGGATGGTGTTACTTTTCTGTTATATATATATATATACTAGTGAAAGTACCAGGCTTTACTCAGGTTATTAGGTTGATATATTCTAGATGACCCTCAGAGTGTGTATTCTGAACCTATTTTAGCATCCCGCAGGTGGACATAGTATTCAGCTTGGAGCTTCTTTTCGTTTATGTGAATGAATCGCAGCCTTTCTGTTTCACTTTTGGCATACATTAATATTTGCCCATTACGAGTGTAGTGATGGGGGTACAAGGGGGCTGTGAAACCTTGTAAGTGTAGAGAATGTTGATATGATTTAAAGAAATTTATAAATAAGTGTGAGATAACCTAGCCTATAGCCAACTGATAAAATTTATTATGAAAGTAAAAATATTGATCCAATTTTAAACTTAAATCATTTCTGAACTAAGGTATTTTCTGTTACATCACCAAAGTTTTTAATAAAAACAAACCTCTTTAATTATTGGAGACTCTAAGAAATAAAATATTTTCCAGTTTTGTTGTTTATACATTTCATTTTATACTTTCAGTACATAGACTAACAATAATGTTAGGTTATACTTTTGTTGCTAAGAGACATGACATAAAATCCATTGTTGGAAGGCATTATTAACAAAACTCACTGGCTTTCTATATATTAGAAGTTGTTAATCTAACTGATATACTATTGGGTGGTAGTACTTGCCTTGTCAGTTTTGATGAGCTACATGTTTATAATAAAAGAGCATGCCTGTCTATCTGTGATTTCTATTTCTAACATAAGAAACCTCTACTTTTCTGGCTTGCCTGATTAAAAAGATGAGCATGCATGCACTCACATGGATAAGTAATAACACCCAGGTGCACACCCTCAGGGTCCACTTAATATGAGTGAAAGATTTCAGGTTTCTAGATTCTTTTCTCTTGGAACTATGGTGGTCACACATACACACAAACATGACCTTTTATTATTATAGATATCAGTAAAGTATAATAGTACTTTTGTAGATACTTTTAAAAGAAAAAATGTGTATATTTTACTGTATTTTGTCTTGCAACCCACTACAATATCTCAAGTGACCCATCCAATAATTACTATCTAGAGTTTATGAACCACTAGAATATCTCTAGTAGTACTGATACACTATCCATGAAGGATGAAAAATTAATTAAAGAAAAAACTGTTGTGTGTGCAGAATTAATATGAAGAAGAAAAAATGAGAATAACATCAGGTTATAACAAACTGCAGAAATATGTTAGATCAGTGTTAATAAATGTTAATATTGTTCTTTTCTTCTCATTTTATGTTAAAAACTGAAGAGAGGAAAATTGTAAGTCACTATTCTAATTAATACTGACATAAAATGTTATACATCCATATTCAGGGCCCC